GCGGGCGCGGTGGCCGGGCCGGCCCGGGGCTGGTAGGGCCCGGAGGGCGCCTCGTCCTGGCAGGCGAGGCAGAGCAGCGTGCCGCCGATGAGCGACAGGGACGAGGAGATGAAGCCGAGGTACAGGGCCTGCCCGATCTCGAACTTCATGCCGCTGGGCAGCAGCGGGTTGTAGAAGTTCTGCACCACGTCGTGGGTGGTCCAGGAGACGGCCACCATGCAGAGCAGGCCGGCCAGGAGGAAGAGCGCGCCGCCCAGCACGGCGAACGTGGACTTGCCCGGGGTGCCCTTGGCGCAGCGCGTGCACTTCATGCCGACCACGGCGCAGGCGCAGGCCACGCCCGACAGCAGGCAGGAGATGACCATGAGCGCGCGCGCCGCCTGCAGGTCCCGCGGCAGCGCCAGCAGCGAGCGGTAGATCTGGCACTGGTAGATGCCGGTGCTGTGCCACACGCACTCCATCCACAGCCCCTTCAGGTAGGACACGGCCGTCAGGATGTTGGTGCCCACGTGCGCCGTCCGGCGCCAGTGCGGCAGGATGGTGGTGATGAGCGTGCCCACCAGGCCCAGGAAGCTGAGCACGAAGCCCAGGAGCTGCACGGCTGTGCTGGCCATGGCCCCGCCGGCGGCTGCCGCGCTCGCTCAGGCGCCCGCAGGAGTCCTAATGAAGCCGGGAGGCGGGGCGGGGGAAAGGAAACGGGTTAAATATTATCTCGATGCATGTATTCCTGCCACCGAAAGGGAGATTTCCATAGGCAGTTGGTACGGCGATTAGCATATTTTTCAAAATAGTTTCTGAGACTGGATGGGGTGACAGAATAAGCGGCGGTTGTCTTAGACACTTTCCCTGGAAGACCAGAACTAGGAGGGGTGACAGCGACATCTGGCTGGACTGTGCCTTCCAAGGACCCCAGGGAAGGACACTGCAGAGCTCCCACATCTCTTAGTACTTACCAGCCACGTGTGGGAAGTTCCTTCTTACTCTACCCTTGAACTCGGCTACATTTGAATCTCACTTGGTTCTGTGCGATCAGCAATCACTTTGGTTGTTCAGTCAACAAATGGACTGGCAGTTCTTTAGGCAGGGCTGCTTCTGAGTTGGAGAGCAGCCTTAGGCTGCCAGTCAGCAGGAAGCATTTTCTGAAGGCAGGAGGCTTCCCGCTGTGCTCAGGCAGGGAGATTTAGGACCCAACAGGCAGGTCAGACACTTCCTTCCAGAATCCCCAGACGTGACCTTAGCGATTATCCACTGACGTCAGAGGAGAGGGATGACCAAGGTCATCAGCTCCTTCAATCCTGTGGCCAGGGGCCAGGGGCCAGGACCACAAACCAAGGACCTTTCCCTCGGGCAGGGCACCTCCCCTCACACCACTCTGAAGAGGGGCGGGCTGGTTACAAGTCAAAGGCTGCTCCCTGGGTTCAGAGATCTGGGTGTGTGGAGCCATTTCAGAGTTTGTCAAAAGTTCTAACCATGGCAAAATTCCAAACACTGCTTGGGGGCAAAGATCCAGCATGTATGTAGTGCAGGCATACAAGGGATATTTGGGAAATATGGGGAGGGAGGAGGAGGAGAAACAGGGAGGGAAGGAGGGAGGGAAGTGGATGGAAGGGACAGAGGATGGAAGGAAAAATGGGAGGGAGAGTGGAACGACCAGTGTGGACACCACCAGCTCCTCTCTCCCACCCGGAGCAGGGTGAGGAGCAAAAGAAATTCAGGAGTCCCGGGCCCAGGGCCACCCCCACCCTCTGGGTGCCTTGGAACCTCTCTCGCTTTAAAACAAGGGAGCTGGACTTCATGCCCCCAAAGTGTCTTTGAGGGACAAGTCAGTTCAGCGTCCCAAACTGGTGAGAATTCAGTCGGCAAAACCCACTCCTTTCAGAGCAGATGAATGTTCTGCACTTAAGCACAGGAAGCCTGCAGGGAGCAAAAGTGCATGGGGGTAGGTGTCACCCAATGCACACTGTCCTGCGAGCCATCTCTGGGTTCCCACAGGCCCTCCTGTCCCTAATCCTGGGTCCGTCGTGAAGAAATCACCCACTACGTCATGATGAAGGATTTGGTTGGTAACAGGTGATGATTCCAAGAGGGCAGACCATCTTGCTGGATTTAAAAACATATACAGGGCTTACAAATCCTCGTGTTGGAGGAGGCAGTCTTTTATTCTGTCCTGCTTAACAAACAGGCTGGACAGCAAGATGCCATGGTGCTGGGCAGGATGTCGTGGGATGAGGTCAGGGGCTTTGCTGCTGTTAAACATGACTCTTTGTCCTGGACCCTGTGTTCTTTACTCACGCTTCCAGCTGATGGCCACGTGTGTCTTGCTGAGAAGCTGGCTTTCCTTAGGAAGTCTTCCCTCCACTCAGCAAGCACCCACTCTGTGCAGGTGCTGGGCTTGGGGCAGGGGGCAGGGACCCCAGGTCCCTGCTGCTCAAGGAGGTGCGGGGCACTGTCCTGTGGTCACTGCCAGGGAGGAGGTGGGGCCCAGAAGGGGCAGCTCTGATGTGTGGGGATAGAGTTGCCTCCACCGACCTCCCAGATGCACTGGGTGCCCGAACAGAGCTGACACGGAAAGCACCGATTCCCTGGGCCTGGGTGATGCCGGGCGCTACGCTGAGCCCTCACACACGCTGCCTGATTTTTTATTCCCCTCAAAAACCCAGCAAAGCAGCGACTGTCCCCACCCCTGCTTTCCACATGGGGAAACTGGGTGCAGGGGATGGAATTTCTTTTTGTGGCCTGGCTACTGTTTTCCCTAGTTTAATTCCTTCCTGACACTCTGCCTTTCTGAATTCAGTGGGACTAAAGTTAGCAGGAGGGCCTGGGGCGGTGACTGTCCCCACTGAAGACGTCCAGTTACAGGGGTTCAGGTGGCCAGCACGGCCCGCTGTTCTAGTTTGCTGGGGACTGAGAGGTTGCCCGGTGGGGGACTTGAAGTGCTGAAATTGGAACCGCCCCAGGCAAACCATGACAGTCCGTTCCTCCAGGAAGCCCCCAGTCTGTGGACTTCTCCAAATGGCCTCTGAGATCCTTCTAGGAACGCCTGGAGGCTGCCTCCAGCCCGGTGGCCACACAGTCTGTCTGGGATTCTGGGCCTTCCGAGGCTTCTCACAGCACTTGCCTGTCAAGGTCAGTCATTCAGGATCCTGAGCCTAAAGAATGCGGGGTAAAAGCTAAGCCTGCTCGACCCCATTAGTCTAGGGAAGTGGACCAGAAGTTTATTGGACGTCTAAATATTTATGGAGAGCAATGACTGCTAATTTTAGAAACCATTAGGTTGCTATATTTAAACTTGTGCTGGAAGGATTTGCTAATTTAAGAAGTGAGTGTTAATGAGCCCTGGACTCCCAGACACCAGCTCCCCACCCCCTCCTCTGCCATTACCCACAGCTGCTACTGGGATTAGGTCATAATTCAACTTCCCAGCAACCACTTTTCACTTTAGGGCCATTCAATGGAAAAACCACCTTAAATGTACAAATTTCCTTGGAAACCACTGAAGGCTCATCCCTGATGCTTCGGAAGGAACCTGCCCC